TTGGCGCGTCAGGATGTAATCGAGGCACCTACGTTCACGTCCCGACGGGCCGTTGAACGTATGCCATATCCCGCCCCTCCGTGTGTCGAAGAAGGTGTTGAGGACCGCTAATCTGTTGTCCGTGGCGAAAGTCAGCAGCAGCTCACCATTTTCGTTCAGCTCATTGCGCCCGTACTCGCCCATGGTTCCTTCGTTTTCCCCTGCTATCCCTCCTCCGGTCTGGGCATTGGCATCCATGAGCACGAAAAGATACTCCTTAGCGGGGATACGACGCACGAGACTGTCAAGTTTTTCCCAGAACATGTGTTTGCTCTCGGTGGTGGCCACGTCTGTTGGGGCATACGCAGCCACGAAGGTCACCGCTCCGCGGTGGCCCATCATCTCAAACCTCATAGCCATGAGGCGCTCGTCCACGTACTCCGTGGTGTACTGGGAGGATTTGCACAGCGTCTCCTCCACAGCGATTCCGACGCCATGCGTACCACCCTTGTCCGTGCCACAGGTGAACACCCGAAAACCGGATGCTGCGAACTCCGTTCGCCCTGGTCTCTTGACCTCCTGCAGACCGACAAACGAAATGCCCTGTTTCGCTGCCTCGTGTAAGACGCAATGACATATAACCACACGAACATCTACCACGTGACCCGCGGGGCAAGCGTACCATGTTTTTTTCTTTTTTTTCTCCCATCATTGGATTCTGTCGTCTGCCCCTCTGGCCCCTATCCTCCACTTCTACCAGCTACACGACCCAACCGGGGTCACATAGGAGGGGGGGGTTGGACCCCCTCCTGCGGTTCCTGCCTGAGATATTTTTATCGCGNCGGTTCCTGCCTGAGATGTTTTTATCGCGAGAAGGGTACAGCAATCCCTTCCCTCGCGACTTACAAAGTCGATTGATTATGGTTTACTAACAACGAGCTTTGCAGCGCGTCGCTTCCAACGGAGACCAGGATTTTTTAAGCGACAAAAAAACTCACTCTGTCGGGACTCGAACACATGACCTGGCCCTTAGCAGGCTACGAGGCTACCCACTAGACCACCGGGGCCACCATGTAGACTACCGTATGTAGCAACAAGCATGAGAGTCCTTCAGCACTTCAGTATTCTGAATGTCCGTCATCATTCAGTTCCAGACCTCCAGAAGACCGGAAAAGGCCAGCCCGCCACATCGCTTCATTATACCCGCAATCTAACGGCGAACGCGACGAGCTCGCTCGCTTTGGTCCTCCGCAACAAGACAAAGCATGGAAATGCCAGCTAATAACGCGGTCTTCACAATCCTAGGGGCACACCAATCAAAGATGGTTTTGTGCGTTAGATGGCGGTACTCAAACACTACGGTATGGGCTATGGACTACGAAGAAGCGCTTCGAATTGCTTATCTACACTAATCGTCATCTAGACCCCCATTCTTTCCACACACTGCAGAGGTAGGATAGAAAGGTACCCTTAGCGGTGACTGCTGACGTATGTCCATGCTTCGCCACCACCCTAATCTGCTCGCCTCGACCCCCCTCCGTTGCCGCGTGGGGCGGGGGCACCCCTCTCCCCGCCGGCTCTGCGTGTGAGATTACCGTCACCGCCACCGCCACCGCCGAACGACACCCGAGTGAGGGCAAGGCTGGGAGCTCTGCGCGTTAGGAACAACAGGGGCGGGGCTGATTTGTTGCGCGCCAAACCCGTTGGATCATCGACAATTGACACCTGACCACACACTTGGGACGCGGGGCTATAGCGCCGCCGTGTAGAGGACTCGGACAACATGGTCGTGGCTGTTCCTACAATAGGACTACTGAATTGCACAAAACCGAAACATCCCAACCGCAAAGCGTACCTACCGGCCACGCCGTGATACAAAAACACGGGATATAACCACTCAAGCATTCGTGCACGTCTTGCAAGGTGGGGCATTTGTGCTGGACGAGCGGCGGAAGGGGGCACCCGGGACAAGCTTCGACACCCTCCCTCCCTCCCTCCCTCCCTCCCTCCCTCCACAATTCCACGTGCTGCCCAAAGGGGAGGGGTACCCGACGCAAGGACCAATTGCTTTCAGACAAGTCCAGGACACCGATACTGCGGCTGCCCCTGGCGACTCTGCCTGTGCGTGGAACTCACGGGCTGGGATGATGGCCATCGGCAGCGTCTTTTCTCCCGCGGTGCTGCTGCTGCTGCTGCTGCGGACCTGCTTCGTGCTGTCCTGACTTTTGCTTGTGCGTGCTGCCACTACTACTTGCTCGAACCCCGCCGACAACATAGCTGTTGCCGCCGCTGCCGCTGCTGCGGTGTTGCTGTTGGCGGTCGGGTTTAATCCTCCAACCTGCTGCCGCAGCAGCGCTCGGGTTGGTCGTTGCGTCCGACACGCCCGTCCCGCCACCACCACCGCCGCTACCCTTGCAGGAGAACATCTGGGCGAAGAGGTCGGCGACCGCACCCCCTCGCCCACTTCCACCGGCCCCGCTCCTTCTTGCTGCCGGAGGCTTTTGCTCAGCACTCGCCGGCCTTTCACCTCCCTGCGATGATGTCCTCGCCGCACCGCGACCGCCACTACCGCCACTACCGCCGTTGCTTGAAAACAACGCGACCGGGTCAGACCCGCGGAGGGAGCTTCGAGACCCGGCAGTCGCACCTTGGGTGATTGCCGGCTGTTTGACAAAGCCGCCGCCCCTGCTGTTGCGCCCGGCACCGCCGGTGGGGCTACTGAAAACCTGCGCTAGCAGGTCTGCCACGGCTCCGCTTCCTTCATCCCCTCGTCTTTTAGGCAACGAAGCGCTTTGAGCGGCTGCTGTTGCTGTTGCAGAGTCTCCCGCTCGTCTCCCGTTCTGTTCAACTGCGGGGCCCTGCTGCTGATGCCGTGCTGCGGTCGGCTGCTGCTGCTGCGGTTGCTTTCGCCGAGCTTCCACGGACACCACGGCCAACGATCGGCCGGCGACGGCGGTGGAATACGTGTCCAACCTAAACGGATGCACCGTCTTGCTCGAGCTGTTGTTGCTGCATCTGCTGCCGGTCGTGCGAGGCCGCTTATTAAGCGGCAGCACCGGCTGGTGCACGCTCCGGACTTTGAGCCGTCGCCGTTGCTGCTCTTGTCGCTCCTGGCGAGGCACCTGGCTGTCTCCGACAACAACCTCCCTGGGTGGGGCGGGGAGAGCGGACCGAGGAACGTTTTTCCCGAAGTGCTTCCTCAGCGGTGGCGGCGAGGCCCTGGATGTTGTAGACGAAGGCGGCGCCTTCGATCTAGGTTTCGGCTTCGGTTTCACCTTTGAATTTGGAGGCGTTTTTCCTTCCGCCTCGGCCTCGAGCCGCTCCAGCCTGTCCCAGTAGTCCTCTTCGTTGCGGAAAGCGGCCATGGACACTGGTTTCGTGTTTCCGACGGTGGGGAGGGGGGATACTCGTGTTTTGCGTGCCTATATATCGTTTGACCATTGTCCTCGAGAGGACGGAGGATTGTCCCCACAGGGCCGATCACCGATGGCCAATCGTTCCTTGCTACTTTGACAAAGGTGGCTCAAAAACGTTCTCCCTATCCCATCTGTCCTATCGACATGACTTCTCGCCTCTTCCGCCCGCTTCTTATAGCCCAGGTGGGAGGGTTCAATGAACGAGGTGGGTGCATGAGGTGCAATCACGGAGGCTGGCTGTTGCGTGCTCGGGAAAATCACGAAGCGTACGTGCACGCGTGGGGGTGCGTGTAACCGTGAGCGGTTTTCGCACTCCTGAAGCATTTTGTTTACAAGCTATTATTGATTAGGTCAACACAACAAGCCGATCTTTTCTGGAGAATCGCAAAGACCGCTGACTCGTCGCCTTCCTCGCTGGGGTTGCTAACCTTGCGAGTGTCGGGCTCCGTTGTGTTCCTCCAAGGCACGCGTTTCCTACACAAGAACGAGAAAACTTTGCAGCCGTAAACAGCAGTGCTCTACGAACGGCTTCATATGTACGTGCGTCAGTTAGTTCAGCGTGCGTGGGGAACGTTTTGGGCTGTGGGTGCATGCGTTGAAGGTACCGGCCATTCAAGCGGCCGGTGGGGTCCGTCGTTCGCGGTCTTCCTTACTTCAAGCACGCTGTCGACCAAAAAAAGTAGTTCGCTGTTGCCTTCATTTGATCACAACGTCGCTGTAAGCCACATTCATATGCGCTGCTGAAAACAAACAGAAGCAACATCAAAGGTAACAAACAACATGAACAATCAACAACAACTACAACAACAATAGCAGCAGCAGCAGCAGCAGCAACATGAACAGGACACGACGTGCTAGCGGCTTGCCTTCTTTCTCTGGGAGCCGCTTGCCTCCGCCTGCGGCCGGTGGGGCTCGTGCGTCGAACCCGGCGTCGTCGAGCTCTCCGTTGCTCGAGCCTTGCATTTCCTGCTGTTGTTGACAGACGGGCGGGTGGTGTAAGGGAAGATCTCATCTTACAAGGCTGACTTATAACCATTTGGTCAGCCAATTAGTGCGATCGATGCTCGCTACAACAGCGTCGAGGGGGGAGACGCTCTCATCGTCGCTGCTGCTGCCCTACACTATGGTGCCCAAACTACAATACCCATTGACAAAAAACGAATTTACAATGCAAATATATTGGCGGGTAACACCAGCCACGCGGAACGTGCCACGCCAGCGAACGACACTCACTTGCTCCAAGTATTCCACGACCTTCACGAGTAGAAATGCCGCGCACCAAGCTCCCGCCCCGCCGCTACCGTCACGGCCACGTCAAAAACATAAAATCCAACACAACATCCTACAGAAAAAGCTCAGGGGGGCGCGTTGCCCCGTACCAAAATATTTCGAACGTCCCGGGGTCAAACGTTCGGACTCGCCGTGATGGCTGAGCTGAAGGTCTCCCTGGGAGTGGGTGGAGCCCCGTCGCCTCTGTGCACATAACACGTCATTCCTGAAGAAGAAACTCTGATAGGCTCTCATCTTGTTTCCTCTGCGGTGCAACCAACACAACATCGACTACACATAGGTATAACGCAGGGGTCCTAAAATAGCACATGTTCTTATGGCCAAGTTCTCAGGCTTCTACACCTCTGTGGAGTAACAAACCCAACATCGACCATACAAAACTTGTAGCGCAGGGTTCCTAACATGGCACATGGTCTTATGGGGAAGTCATGGTCAAGTTCTTAGGCTTCTCCACTGTCGAGCGCCCAAACCAACATCGACCACAAGAAACTTCCATCGCAGGGGTTGTAACTGAACACATGTTCTTATGGCCAAGCTCATATATTTCCAAGGTTTGATGAACCTGAATGTCTCCTCTCCCAGGCTCGAATGCATCGGGGACGACGGTTATATGTGATTGGCACCGTCAGCGGACGGCGGGGAAGAAATACGTGCAGCTCTCGGCCGGTGTGACTTCGAAGAATTGCCAGCGAAGGGTTCCAACCTGGTTCTGTCCGGGCGCTCGAGTGAGTGTACGCAACAACAACAACAACAACAACAACAACAACAACAACAACAACAACAACAATCAGAAGGTATATCGATGCACACCGACCGATACGTGCCTGGCCCGAGTCGTCGCTGCTGCCGCCGTCTTCCTGCCCCGCCAACCGATAGTACCTCTTAGCGTCCCACCCGCTATCGTCGTGTGACGCCCCGCCACCACCTTTTTCTCTTCCCTTGCCACTAGCCCCTACACTGCCGCCTAGGTCGCGCACGTCCACGCCCATCCAACCCCCCCCGGCCCTAGCTCCCGCCAGCTTCAAGAGGTCCGTCTTGATCCTCTCGCGCTCGCCACCGCACCAGTCGCAGGTTCCTCGGCAGATATCGGTGGGTACGATGTTGCTTCTACCGCTGCCGGCGGAAGACGTCGCAAGCCCGCGCTTCTTCTGCGCCGCAGCTATGCGCGTACATACGCGTGTTGCGGGAGCACACGGCCGAACCGAAAAAAGCAAACAACACGGCGGTAGAGTGCGCAAGGTTTACGAGCAAGTGTGGACAAGCTCGGTTGAATTGTTCGCGGGTACGGTGACCTTGCCGCGGGACTTTTACGCCACGGATATCTAGCACGGCGACTATCGTTACCACACGCTTGCGTGGGGCGGTGTCGTGTGACCGTACGCGATGTGCAGGACGAGCAGGATGCGTGTCAAGCATCTAGTTCTAGTTAATGCCGGCGAGCTAACTGCTGCGTGCTCGTTTAAGCAGCGCTGCACAACACCATGGACATATATGACCCTGCCGAGGTGTGGCCGAGTTTGTGCCTACTCCTATTCTCCCGGAAACGTGTTTGTATGGGTGGAGGTACATCGTGAAATAAAAAAAGGCAGAAACTGGTTCATTACTCCATGACCAACTTCGTCCTAGTAAAAAAAAAAATATTCACTCGGATGTATAACGTCGGAAGCTATATCCCCGCCACCGACGGAAAGTCTAAAAACTCCAACATCACAAAGCTTTTTCACCAGATATTTAAAGCTCGGTTACAGACATGCAGCGTTATGTCTTCGTCTTCGCCTTAGCCAACAGACTTCGGGCTACAGTATCATGAACACACAAAGTCGATGGAGGAGCGACGGGGATTCCATGTGATGTCTACACTTACGTGTACACTTAGTACCCACCGCCTCGGCAAAAAACAATCAAACGCTACGCGCCACCGCGAAGGAATGCTGGTGTCGTTCATGTATGCCGGGTAGGGGAAAAAAAACAATAGAGAGAAGGAGAACGAGGTGCAGTTCGCAAGGTCTTGTGTTCTTTCATTCAACGTCCATCCCCGTACAAGATTATCTATTACTCGCTTCTTGGACGGCGACACAACTGGCCCTTCAACGATCGATTGCTGTGAGCGCTTGTGTGGCGTCCGAGGTGAAGGTCGTCACAAACACGAAGAGCAAGCGCCCGCAACCAGGAAGAACAATCAAATTCGGCCCGAGTCCCCAAGAATGACTGTCTGAAAGCTACAGGAAGGAATAGCGGCGAGACAAAGACAGGGTCAGAGCCGGAGACAGAGACAGACATACAGATCCAGAATGAACGTAGGACGCCCCTTGTCGCTCCAAAACATCCCCTCCTCAACCAAACTTGCCTCAGCTTCTCGTGCAGCAACAAGCAATCGATTCAAACACAAGGCGGTAAAACCGGTAACGATATCTACTGCTGACCTGCCGCTGCTGCTGGCGCCCCGGTCACCTCTCCGAAATGGGCAAGGAGGGCCTTCCGCCGGCAGCCCAGCTTCTCGCAGTAGGCTACCACTGAATCAACAGCCTTGACGGCCTTCAAGGACGCTCGCCGCTGGCGCTTCCGGCCCGTTTCCGTCCCTTTCTCCTCACCTACAACGAAAACAACAATGAAAATGTCGACAACTATAGTGAACAAATGTGAACACAACAACAGGTAATACTATTGAGGTCGAATAAAAAAATGGACCAAATCACAGCGTTGTTCTAATCAACGAATGAACATCCCAATGGAAAATGTTGTTGGCTCTGCTTACAGTGAAACAATGAACAAAACAGCAAAAAAAAAATGTTTTGCTCCCCTGCAAGAATGAACAAACCAACAAACGCTGTTTTGCCCTGTAAAAAGACTAAAAGCATGACAAGAGGAATTTTTTCTTGCTCTCGTGAAAGAAGGAAAACAGCAATGAAAAATGTTACTTCGCTTTCCGGCCCGCTTCCGTCCCAATCTCCTCACCAAAATGAACACAACAATGAATGTTGTCGTTTTGCTCTCGTGAAGAAGAAACACGGAAATGAAAATTGTTGGTTCGCTTTAATGACAGAATGAGCACAACAAAAAAAAACGAGTCGCGTTGCCCTGAAAGTGAAAGAATGGACACTCTCATAGAAAACACATCTTTGCTCTGGTTAATAAAAGGTGAAACGTCAATGAAACACGCCGTCTTACTGGAAGAATGCACACTGAAAGGAGTTGATTGCCCTCGTGAACGAAGGAACACAAAAAATGAGAATGCTGTAATGCTCTTCATATGCATAGCAAAAGAGGGAAATAATCAACACAACAAAATCGTTTTGCCCTATTTTGTGAAAGAACGACACAACATCAGAAAACGTTGTTGTGCTCTAGTGAACTATAAACACAAAGAATAGCATGTTGTCTTCGCTTCATCGAAGGAATGCTCATCACAAAGAAAAATGTCGTTTGGCTCTAGTGAAAGAATGAACACAACAAACAACAACGTTGGTTTGCTCCATTGAGAGAATGACAATAAATCGTTGCTCTGATGAAAGAATTGAGACAGCAAATAAAACAACAATTTGTCTATAAAACACAGGAATGATTATCATCGTGAAGCTATGAACGGATACAGCAAAAACGGTGTATCTCTACGTTGAAAAAATGAAATGGGGGACAACTTTCGCTCACCCGAGAACCTCTTCAACCACAACAACAAAAACAACAAAAACGACAAAAGCAACAACAGCAGCAACAAAACGAACCTGCGAGTGGGCGGGGTTTCCTAGCCAAGAAGGCGAGGAGCTCGACCGTCTCTCGGCTGTGGTAGACCACGCTGACCGCCTTCGATCCGTCTCGCCCTGCCCTCCCTAGCTCCTGGTACAAGCCCTCCATGCTCTTCGGCAGGTCCCAGTGCACGACGAACCTACAGTAGCAGGCGTAGGATAGCACCGAGATCAAGGTACCACGAAACCAATAGCAGCCAGCAACGACAGCAACAAGTCGTGACGCAAGCGCTCAAAAACTTCGCAGCGTTTTCCTCATGTCGGTTTGAAACGACAAACATAATACAGAGCCGTTGCAGATCTTGCGGAAGTCTTTGTCGACGTGGAAAGGCGGAAGATACGTGGAGAAACGCACAAAAACCCCACACGGTCAGACGTGGATGTACATCCCCCGCAAAAAGAATGAAAACCGAGTTTGACACAATTCATTTGGATAGAAAAAAGCTCCACAGAACAAGCAGAAAACCAAGAGTGAGATAGGTTTTCGACAAAGAGTAGATATGATGATCGTCTTCGACAATTGGGATCTATCCTTCCATTCTTCGATTGTCCGATCACCTTACGTCGCTCTTGTCGACGCCCATGCCGAACGCCACGCTGCCCGTGATCACGTCCACCTCTCCCGACATAAACTTCGCCTGGAATTCAAATAAAAAAAAAACGAGCGAATTGAGAGAAAGAAACGAAAGAGACGTACGGTTGACAAGAGAAAGACAGCAGGAGGAGACCGCAATCACTTGCCGTCGAGATAGACGTGGCAATGATAAAAACATAACCATGCGTAAGGACCAATTGTGCAAACCAGACGAAAGAGTAGGCAACGTTCACAGAGTGCGAGCTGTCGTGGCCGTGGAGGCCCAATTCACAGCTGTCCGTGAGCCGCCGTAACCAGCATGATACATGATGTGAAACCCGATTCAAGCAAGCGCTTCTACAGTAGCTTCGGCAAGAGTATCTTATAGCTTGGCGGGGCGAATTTTCTACCTCCGGGCTCCCACCCCCAGGCTACATCAGTGTAAAAAAAAAACAGAAAAGCCTTGTCCGACCCCCGGCAAACTGCCGTCAGGTAGACTTTGGCGAAGCCTCCGATGGCGACCGATCGATCGTTCGTAGGTGAGTAACGAACGACACGTACAACTCGACGCTGAACAAGAGAAAGCAAACACGAACACACGGCCAGAGACAACGGAAAAAGACAATGGAAGGCCCCAAGACAAAAAAAAAAAAAATGATGCGGACACCACAACAAACCAGGTGTATGCAGGAAAGAACGAACGACCCCATGACAGACGGTAAAATGAATGCATGATCTCCCAAGGAGAACATTGAACAGGTGTGCGGGTGAACGCAACGAAAAAAAAGAACACGTGCCTGGGCTTCGGTCCTGTCGTGGTCTGACATCTTCCCGTGGTAGGGCATCGCCAAGAATGCCTTCCTGCCGTCCAGGAGGGACTCCTTTCGCAGCGCTCGGTTGAGGGCCTTCGCCAGTTCCTCTGCGGTGTCCCTCTGTCCAGGGGTTGGGATGACGGCAACAACGAGAACGATGGCGGAAATGGCGACGATACGGCGGGAGCACCACGTCAATCACTACAATGTGACGACTTGCCGGTAGCAGCAAGAGCAGAAATAGCAGCAGCAGCAGCAGGACAAGCAGCAGCAGGACAAGCAGCAGCACACTACAAGCAGGAGTGACACTAGCACGGAGCACGAGAACGTCACCAACACCAGTAGCAAACACCACGAACTCCTAACGGTAGGATCACCACCGACAATTGGCCCTGTACCCGCCCCCGTGCATGTTCGCCATCCAACACATGACTCCTCCCACATGCATGTGGGTCATCACACAAAAACGGTTCGAGACAACATAATTAAAAAGGAAGGAAAACAGGTTGAACTTCCCGTATTTCACACTATGCCCCCACCAGCGTGGTCGTAGCCCAGCCTTACTCGGTGCTGAGCATTGCCAGCTTGTCGTGTTGTCGCTGCATTTCATTCCCGCAAAATCGAGGATCCAGGGACCCACCCAAAAAGACACCGCGTGGGAACGAGTTGCTCGGCGAATACTACTTAGACCCGGCGCTGCGGCAGTCAATTCACTTCGTGGAGCTCGATGAGGCCCTCTGCAAAGCGAACGAACTCGCGGGGAGAGGTGTTACGTAAACCAAGACAAGAGAATTGTTGTTGTTGCTTTCGTCTTATTTATCATGGCGACAGTCCCCCCATTCTTTCGTGGTGGCACGGTTACAAGACATTGCAGTATATGTAGACGAGAGAGTGGATTGACAAAAAAAAACACGGCACCTTGTGGCAGTACACGATCCCCGACTGGCCACTCCTCTCCCTCAGGAAGCCAACCAGGTGCTCGAGCGCGCCTCCATCCATGGCGTCCTAAAGAAACAACCAAGCAAGCACAAGGGTGATTTCCCGTGATGCATGAGGATACTGTATGCGTTCGGTCAGGGGTATTTGTTGCTTTCGGTATTGACGGTTCTTGTTTCACCGTCCTTGTTTGTCGTTTGCCCCTGGCCTGAAAATTGCTGCTGTGTGTGAGTGTGTTGTGTGTGTTTTCGTCCTATTTACTACGGCGAAAGTCCCCTCACTATTCGTGGTAAGAAGTGTACTGCACTTTTCAGTGTATGAAAAAAAGGTTGCTACACTTTTTCAGTGTATGTTTTCGTACAACCACAACCATCCAGGGTCACACAGGAGGGGGTAAACACCAGGGCCCTGTTCTTCTTTGTTTTGATTTTTGTGCAAGCTGAATATTGTTTTTCATCGCGAGAAGGGTCCAGCCGTCCCGTTCCATCGTCAACGGTGCCAACGTCGAAGTTTGGTACTCACGAGAGTTTTTTGCGGCTATTTTCGCATTCACCTGCAGTTCTCTTCCCCCGGCCTGCTCCCCTCCCTGCCGGGGTGGGCCGAGGTCCGTAAGTGAACTTAGCCTCGAAACACCACCCAACAAAGACGGACACAGTCCCTAGCACTGATCAGAAGGAGATCCTGAGTTTGGCGGCCGGGAACTACCGCTGTCGTAAGATCGGGGTAGCTCGCGACCTAGCCGACTTTGGTAGCTGCAAATGAGATTGAATACAGACGCCCCGGCGTGGACACCGGGGCCATGCAGCAGCAGAGAACACGATGTCCACCGTGGGGGTATGCACCAGAGAGGGGAAAGGAGAGGGTCCAGAGCTGGAGGGCCGCACCGCTCCGGGACAAGACAACTCGCTGGGACAAAAGGCAAGCACCAAGGTAATTCGTACGTTTGCCCGAGAGCCCGCAAAATATACATCAACGACAAAAATAGAGGGCACGAAGGAGGACATGGAGGGGACGGGCGAAGCGTTGGCTGGCTAAGAGAGCAGGACGCACCGCCCGAGAGAGACAGCAGGGTCGACTTCTTCGGGTAGCAACCTCGAATGTGCGAACTTTGGCTGAAAACGGGAAGAATGAGTCTGGGCGAGCCTGCAGCATCCTTCACGGGGCAGCGACGCAAGATGTATCGGTGGTAGGACTGCAGGAGACCAGGAGGCCAGGTCACACGGAGTTCGCGGCCGCGGATTTCCGAGTATTCTACTGTGGTACGGAGAAGCGTAATGTCCATGGTGTTGGAATAGCCGTTAAAGAGTCACTGTGCAAGACCTCCACTTTCGCCACGAACAATGTCGATGAACGCCTCATGGCCATGAGGTTTGAGATGACGGGCCACCGCGAAGCTGTCAACGTCGTTGCTGCGTAAGCCCCAACCGAGGTCGCCGCCGCTGATAGCAAGACAGAGTTCTGGGGAAAACTTGACATTCTCGTGCGGAGGATTCCCTCCAAAGCGTGCGTGTATGCCATGATGGATGCCAACGCTCGGACGGGAGAGAGGATGGATGGGGAGGACGAGGGCGTCATGGGGATACACGGGCGTGATGAGCAAAATAAGAATGGCCCACTACTGCTAACTTTCGCAGCGGGAAACAAGCCAGCACTCACGAACACGTTCTTCGAGACACGCAAGGGCGGAATATGGCACACCAACAACGGTGCGTCAGGGACCGACCCAAGGCGCCTCGACTACATTCTACCGCGGCAGGCACACCGCGGCCGAGTGTCTAACATGGTTGTCATCACCCAGCCGGTATACCCAGGCAAGGCGGACTCAGGCCACAACATGGTGATAGCCACCGTCAACCTCGGTGGCAGACTTGCCCACAACTGAGCAGTCCGGACCAAACCGAACAAGAAGCAGTTCGACCGACGGGAACTGCTGGTCCAAGCAACGCGATGGGAGGTGACTACGCGGTTCCTCCGCAACCTCGACCAACAGCAGGGCGAACGAGCGACCACCACCCCGGAGAAGGCGACCGATTTCACCAATGCCCTCCTCGAAGCGGCGAGGGCGATACTACCCGAGGAACCGAGGAGACGACTCACGCAGGAACGGTGTGAGGCCCCTGACACAAGAGCAGCATTGGAGGAGGCCCTCACCAAACGGCGGGAAGCGCGCCGAGCGATGAACGACAAGTTGAACACAACATCGTGAAGAGCAGCGTGGAAGGGAGTGGCCGCAGCAGTCGAAACGGGCATATATGCCCACCTGGACAGACATGTGACGGAACTCGAAGCGATCTACAAGGACCGCAATATGCAAGGCCTCTACCAACTCCTCAGAAGATCTGTGGGGCTTAGTGGGAGACAAGCGGGAGGATAGCAGCCCGTTGCGGACGAGAATGGCGTGCTACTCCGGAGAAAGAACATCCAGCGATGAGCGAGAATCTTCGGCACCCTCCTCAACACCAAGTCCCCCACTCTGAACCCAGACATCAGCGAACAAGTGACGCAGCGGCCGTCGACACGTGCCAATGGACGGTTGGGAGCGGTGCCAGACCTCGAGGAAGTGGAACGGGCAACGAAAGGACTGCAGAACTAGAAGGCACCCGGCAATGGCTCCCTCCCTTCAGATTTGCTCAAGATCGACGACGACGACGACGAGGAACCCATCGTCCTGGAGCACCTCCATGCGCCATCCTCGTTGAGGTGTGGAACGGAGGAGAGATCCTCCAAGAGTGGAAGGACGCAACCATGAACGTGTTGTACAAGAAGGGTGACCGGTCCAACTGCAACAATTTCAGGGGGATGTCGCTCCTGTCTCACGTAGGCAAGGTCCCCCATCAAGATCATCACCAACCGTCTAAGCGCCTTCTGCGAAACCAACAACATCCTCCCGGAGGAACAGTGCGAATTTCGACCCGGGCGATCCACCATCGACATGTTGTTCGTCGTGCTCCGACTCCAGGAGTTGGGGCGGAGAAGGAAAACACCACTTTACATGTGCTTCGTCGACCTGAAGAAGGCGTATGACTCGGTGGACCGAGAGCTGCTGAGGAAGGTCCTGGCCACGGCCGGGATCCCTGAGGAGATGATCGCCGTCATCCGCGAATTTCCACGACGGAATGCAGGTCCGGGTGCCCATGGACGACGGAGAGTTTCGGCCTGGTTCTTGGTCACACAAGGCCTACGGCAAGGGTGTGTGCTGTCCCCACTGCTGTTCAATATCTTCTTCGCCGCGGTCATCGAGGTCGTTGCCATTCGATTCAGCGAGGGTAATGTTGTTCTGCAGAACCTTGTGTACCTGGAGGAGGAGACGGGAGCGGAGGCGAGGACACAACTAGACAGAGTGCGGAGGGCGGTATGGGGTATGCTGTCTGCCGATGACGCTGGCGTTGTGTCGAGGTCTGCCGAAGGGCTGGCAAGAATGATGACCGTCATCGTGGAGGTGTTCAGGGAGTTCAGGCTGACGGTATCGGAGAAGAAGACGGAGACGCTCCTGATGCGCGCAAAGGAGAAGCACACAACAACACCACCGCCCCCTCCCGCCGCCACCGCTGATCATCGAGGCAGCAGGGTAGAGTTATGCCCAGACGACTGAATTCCAGTACCTAGGTGGCCTCGTCAACGAACATGGCGACCTCACGCGGGAGATCAATTACCCGAGCAGAGCAGCGTCGGCATGCGTCAGGAGATATGGCCAGGAGCTCTTCGACAGGCCGAAAGCACCGTTCCGACTGAAGACTCGCCTCCTCCAGGCCGAGGCGATGGAGGCACTGCTGCACGGCTGCATGACATGGGCTCCACACCAATACCGGACGTTACTGACGATACACCACCGACTACTCCTGCGAGTTATCGGATACCAACGCAAGAAGGGCAACTACCGGCAGCTTTCCTACGCCCAGACCCTGAAGAGGGTAGGGTGCCAGACCGTGGAAATCACTATCCGGAAACGGCGCCTGCTGTTCGCGGGAGCGCTGGCAAGGCAGCCAGCTCGAAACGGGTGATGCTTGGTGAACTGGTGGGGGGGGGAGGGCCCAGGCAGGGGAAATCGGAGCAAAGCTGGCAGATGTGCCTGAAGGACGACCTGAAGATTTCGAAGCAGAGCACGGATCTACGGACGCCGAACCATGCTTCTTCGGAATCCCGGGAACAACTTGGATGGAAGCAGCGAAGGTGGACCGGGGGGTACCGAGACATACAGGGGTGGTGCAGGGAGCTGAGAGGTTCATGGCCTACTGGCACAAGAAGGAGGAGGCTAGCCGACAACGAGCACTTAAACGAAACAAGAAGCCCGACAACAACACGGATATGGCAACAACCACGGGCGTGGGAGGGGTACAGCAGGCGGACGAGACGGCGAGGAAAGGCAGGAAACTCGAAGAGGCGAACCCAGTGGCGCGAAACATCGTGCCGAATTGAACCCCTTGCTTGACTTATCCCCCCCCCCCGAAGAAGACAAAGTGAATGACAACGGAGTGAGGATGTTTGAATTATTGGGAAGCAACGAGCTGATGGTGCTGAACGGTAGGAGGGAATGCGATAAGCCGTAGTTCACCAGGCAAAAGGGCAGTTTGCAGTGACTATTCGATCCTCGAGTACATCCTGGTAGATACGGATAGCACACAGATCCCAGAGCTGCACGTACGTGCGATAGATACAGGTTCGACCGAGCACTTCCTCATATGGGCAAACGTCGACCGATCTAGAAAGATGGAGAGAAAGAACCAGAGGAAAGTGTTCCGGTGGAAAGTAGAGCGTTTGGGAGACGACGGGACACGGGATGAATTTTAGAAGGGACTGACTGGCCTTCAGCAAACTGCAAAGAAGCATCGAAGACAAACAGGTAGACGTACAAGCAGCAGGGGACAGGGTGATCGAAGGGTGGGAGTCCATCGTGAACGCAACGGCAGAGAGAGCAGTGGGAAAGAAGGTGGTACGATGTGGGGTATGGGTAAAGTGGTGGGATGACGAGCTGAAAGAATAAATAGGGGAGCGTAGAGAAGTCTTCAAGAAGTACCTGAGTGAGGGGTCTGAGGAGAGTTGGGAAAAGTACAGGGCCAAGAGGAAACAGG